TCCTAGGAGGCCGACCATTTGTTCTCTTTCCCTTGGTCTGAACTGGTGGGGCTCACTCTGAATTTCAGCGCTGACTGTTGGGTCTTTCCTCAATGCATGCTGGCAACACCCGCATGGATTCGCTTCCTGAATAATAAGTTGGGAGGCTCACAAGTCCACTGCATCCACGTTGACTGCTTTGTTTGATTACTTTGATGGGACTTACTGTTTGTCCCAGCAAGTTCCAGAACAGCAGAGTTTCCCAACCATGCATCAAAGGAGAACATATTTATGCTTGCTTTTTTTCCTAAAAGAAAGAAAGACGGTGCAGTCCAAGTCAGGCTGCATGCATTGAGGAATGGTCACCTGCCTTAATGGCAGGGCCCCACCAAACACCAGACCAAGAGGTTGAGGTGGTACAGAAGCCCACACCAGCAAGTTGACCTCCACCGTGGGACCTACGACACGACCTGTCAGGCAGGCCCTGTCCAGCAAACTCAAGACCCCCCCCACCTCAGCCTCAGAGAAAGCTAGCCAACATCTCAGCATGCTGATACTGTTAGGCGCATGTGCACATGCATATATGTCTGCATTCTGTGTGTGTGTCGGGGGGGGGGGAAGGGTGGGAATGGGTGGCGTGTGTGCACGTCTGTGTGCAGGGGGGGGGGTGTGGTTGTTGTGTGTGTGTGTGGGTGCGTATACACAACATGCTTGCGCGAATCAAATTCCACAATGATTTGGAATCGTAGAGTTAAAAGGACAGAAAACCATTCAAGGAAAAGGAAACAAAACCTCGGGGAGGACAAGGAGTGGAAGCATGGGCTGCGTGCCTTAGTGGACCCCAACCACTGACCTGCAGATGTCCTTGCGCCACATAAGTGGCGCTGTGCCACTCAGCACAGCAATAGGCCAGGCCAAGCAGTAACCGCGCCAACCACAATGCAGCGGGGCAAAAGGGTTGCCGCACAGCGGATTTGAACCACTGACCTACGCATTACAAGTGCGTCGCTCTACCCCTGAGCTAGAACGGCTGGCGGAAGGTTTGCCCCCCACCTTGTACTYACAAGCATTCCTTGCATATAAGTACAAATATTGTGCAGGCAGCGACATGCCTGCTGCCCTGCGTGCCTTCAACAGCCCGGCTTAGCCTTGTCTTCTTCTGCCGTGGGTTCTCAATAGGGCCAGTCCTTTTTTTGCGTAGTGTTCCAGCTGTAGCTCTTGTTTTTGCACTTTCTTGCGGCTCTCCTCTTGCTATCAGGTCCCTTGGCTGGGGGAGCTATTCATGAAAAAGAAAAAAACGTCTCCGGACTCCCTGTTTCTCAATTGAGACCGTGAACTCACAGAACGCTGGGCATGGCTGCTGATGTGCGATCCTCAAAGAACAAACACACATTGAATTTGCACTCTCAAATTGATATCCCTCTATACCCCAGCTTCATGCTTGGGCACGCCTCCAGGCTTCAGAAGCAGAATTATCCTGGCCCTGCTCAACGGTTACCCGCATGCTTCAGCAGACTGCCTGCAGGGCAGCCACAGCGCCCTGTATCCTAGGCGTCCTGATTGTCCTCCAATGCAGGTGCATGACAAGGGCTCCAAGCAGCCTCTGCAGTGCTTGTCATGAGCAAGCGCAGATGTGGATGCACTCATGGATGCTTAGATGCTGAGTAAGCAATTGCGAGACCTGAGCAATTGCGAGACCTGAGCAATTACGAGACCTGAGCAATTACGAGACCTGAGCAATTACGAGACATGAGCAGCTGTAGGGCAGATTGCTATAGGGGCTAACATCCCTACACTTCCAGACAAGCTCATTTGCAAATTTTCTTTTTCACTTGTCAGCTTTAGAAGATATTTGATTGCCTTGAGTATGTGTGCATGCACTGAAGGAATGACAAAATTTGGATGATCACAGATCACTATCCCCATTGCTTTCACCACACAGCCCATACCCTAGAAGGCCCCGGGGCCCCCCATCCTCTGTCCAAGCACCCCTCCCTGCAGTCTCGCCTCCAACTCACAGCTGATATCTGTAGGGCTGAGTAGCCAACTTGCCTTATCTTGGCCAGGGCCCCGGCTTCGCTCGCCCAGAGAGCCCTTTGGCAGCATGGCTTCTTCTACCTGCTGGCATGAAGTTTCATCAAAGGTTCCTAAACATTTTTGAGGAATTATTAGTTTCCAAGGTTTCTTGGAAGATGGAAAAAGACTATGCTTTGAACCTCCACATGCATGCAAAACACAGGCTAGACTTTGCAACTGCTAGAAAGGTAGTGTAGTAAATCACACTTATTACCTAAGTCTGCCTCATGTTAAAAAAGTTAAGTTTACTCTGGACTCAACCAGCGTGCATTAAGGAAAGACCCAACAGTCATCGCTAGTTTCAAAACTAACAGTGAGCCCCACCAACGAAGGCTTACTCTGAGCAGCCCAGCCAATGTGGGTCCAGCGAGTCGTTGGCCATCCATCCCGCTGCGCGCCTCGCTGTCCTGTACGCAGCCCGCCCCGTAGCCCCCTTACCTAAACCCCCATTGCTTATGTTCCTGAATTGGATGGCATTTTTGGTGTTATTAATTCGTGTGGGTCTTCCCTGTATGATAGTGGAGTTCTTTTGCAGTTTTGTGGGCGTTGTCTTTTGTTAAGCCTGGTTTGCAGAGGGGATTTGTAGTGTAGGGATTGAAAATAGTCCCAGCAACTCCAATTCGTATGGTGTGCAAAATATTGACTCTGTTATTGCGGTGTGTGCCCCGGAGATTTTTCGTGCGTAGGCTGTTAATGGTGTGTTTGTGGCTTGCCTTTGAGGAAACTCCCTGCACTCATGCAAATGCTTCTAGACGCCTGAACCCACCTGCCATAAAGCTCAAACACTTGTCCAACCTCCATGGTGCCCTACGGAAACACATGCACTCAAAACACAGACTTGGAAAGGCCAACACCAATACAGGGTATTACTCCTTCTACCGAAGTCTACTCCCCAACATCCACAAAACTATCAGTAATGCCTTCTGGACTATGCCAACACTCTCTTTCAAAATGAGACAAAACATCTTTAAGTACCGCACAGGTACCCTCTTCAATCAAGAACACGCGGTGCGCTTCAAAATTTCCACATGCCTACAATGCCCCCTCTGTGGGGAACTCGACAGAGCCCTTCACATCTTGTCAGGATGCAAAAATTCAACCATGTCTGGTATGGTAACTGAGCGACATAATATTGCCAGCAGAATCCTCCTAAAAGCCATCAACAAAGGCCCTCTCGGGGCAGGTATTCCCTCCATGGACACTGGCAGTGCAGACCGTCTTGCCTTGCAAGACCTACAAATCCGTCGGAATGTTAGAAAGCATTACTGACCCCTCTTA